CCAGCTCCGTGAGGGTCTCCATGGTCTCCAGACCGCCCAGCTCGCCGCTCTCGTCCATCGCCTGGCTCGGCGCAGAGGCCTCCCTGCCGGCCTGTTCAGGGAGACGCGGGGGCGNNGGGCGGTGCCGCCACCGCCACCCATGACACCCGACAGCCCCCGCCCGGTACCTCCTCACCGGCCGGTGCCACCCTCCGCCATGTTTGCGCCGCGCAAGAGGGGCGGGGCGGGATTCCCCCGCCCAATCCGCGCCCTCTGAGGCCCCGCCCCCAGGCCGAGCGCACCCCTGTTTGTTGTCAATGGGACCAGGCTTGTCGTGGCCAATCGGCGCGCCCAGCGGCGCGTGGGGTGATGGCGCGTCAGCATCAGCAGCTCAGATTTGCATAGAGAGGCCCCGCCCCTCGCAGTCCCGTTAAGGCTGGGACCGGAAGCCTCCAGGTCCTGGGCCCAGCCTCCTTCCCCTCGTTTAAAGGAGCTGCTGTCTTTTCCGTCGAGTCTGCTCCACAAACTAGTCCTTCCACTTGCCGGGAATTGAAGCGTTAATAGGCTCCGCTCTCGCCCCCTGGTCGCCCCCACCCCCCAGCAGTTCGTGAGTACATTACGTCATCTTCCCAGCGGCCCCCGCCCAGCCCGCCTGGGAGAGCGGTGGAATCAAACCTCTGCCCCAAACGCTGGGCCCGGAGGCGTCTGGAGATCGTTCATCGCGTTCCTCCCACGCCTCCTCCTAAGTCGGAAACGGAGGCTCGACGTGGACCACGAGTTGTCCACCTACGGAGCGCGACGGCCACCTCTGCGCCTTCGCACCTTCGGAACACGCGCTGCTTCCTTGGGTTCTCACCCCTGGGGTACCTTTGAACCGCCTGCAAACCTTTAAAACGATGCCGGTGCCAGGGCCACCACTAGCCCCCCCTTGGGGAGCCCGCCGTGAGCATTTTGACAATGTTCGGCGGGAATTCTGATGCACAGCCCACCCATATTCCCTCTCTTTCAAGCACCCCACTGCCCCATTTTGCAGCTGGTCACGATGTAAGCAAATGTGCAAATGTCTAGTTTATCCTAAGGAATAGAAGTACCAGTGCTCAAAGAAGGACCCAAGTATGTGTGTCATAGACGTTCATCCCGCAGTCTGTGACTGGAAAATTGGGAAGCCCAATGTAAGGTTATCGTAGGTGGTGTGCGGCCAGGCTAAATAGCTATCTCAGAGGGTAAAGAAAAATTGAATTTAAGGAAAAGGGAATGTGGGATGGGTATATCCAGAGGGCAGGGCTACTCAGCACTGAGTCAGAGGGGATTGGGTCCATGATGGCAGCAAATATACTTGGGACAGTGAAACAGGGAGGGGCATAGAGCAACAGGAGAGCCCAGGCTGGGCTGCATTGGCTCACAGAGAAGTCAGAAGGGGGGCCTTGGAGACAGGTTCAGGGGGTAAGTGGGATGAGCTGCCGCTGCCCATCGCTCCCCTGGTTGCAAGTCTCTGGGGTCCCCTCCAAGGGAAGGGGGAAGGAGATGACGCTGGCGGAGCACATACTGGTCCTTTGTCCTGAGCATATTTCTTTCTTGCAGGTGGAAATCTTAGGGGAGGTCTCAATAGAATATTCAACTTTCCAGGTGGGCTCTTTCAGGGTCCTGTGGTCTTCACTGATTGGTCGGGGCAAGGAGCGGGGGAGGTGTCATCAATGTAGCCGGTCCTGAGGCAGCCACCGGTGCCCCTTTGGTGTTGCTGCTTTTCAGGGCCTGGAGCTGAAATACAACTGATGCTTAGATATTATCTTTAGAGAGGAAACTTTAAGGGGGTATAAACCCTGTGACCAGCAATATGCTGGGGGAGGACAGGTTAGCCTGGGGACAAGGTTCTTGTTTTCCTAGTTTTGCCCCTTGCTAGGCATCTGGGGCTTTCTGCCCTGGTGAGTCCCTGTACCTGGCCCACTGTCCTTGCTCTGCTCACGTCTGTCTAACACCCAATAAGGGATTACAGCCACACAGTGGAATACCATGGCATCATCAAACATTACATAGATAAATGCATAGCTATCAACAGACTTTCATAATATATTGTTAAAAGGGAGAAGTATATTCCCTATAAGTGTAAGAGGCAGCTGCTCCTCTGTGGTCAAGACTTATGAGCACACAGGCTGTGTGGAAGCAAACATATAGACCTACTTATGCAGTGTGACCTTGAACAGCTTAACTGTTCTAAGCCTTCATTCTGCCATCTCTAAAATAGGAATAGTGTTCCCGCATAGTTGTGAGGATTAAATGGGATCATCTGCACATTCATTTGATATTTATTGCACACCTCTGTGGCAGGCAAACAGAAATAGTTCTGCCCTGAGAGCTTACAGTCTAGTGAACAGACATTAAACAAATCAACATAAAAAGAAATGATAATAGTACAAGTGATCAAAGAAAAGTAATGGGTGTGATGAAACTGTATCAATGACTCTGACTTGGGATGTCAAGAATGGCCTCTGACATTTAAGATGAAACCTAAAATTATGAGGAGAGACCTGTGTATGGTGTAGCTGGGGCAACAGACAACATGGACAAGGGCCGAGGCAGCAGAAGCTGCTGCCAGCGAGCACTTGTCATAAAGCCTGGCATATTAGTAAGTGCTGGCACAAGGTAGCTATTATAATAGAAAAAACAGCGATCTATGTGCTCACATGAAGGGAAAATGGATGGGAGGCCCAACAGTTGACTGTCAGTCACGGTTATGGGAATGGTGGGTTTAGGGTGAATTTCTTCTTGACATTTCAGTATACTTTTTATAATGAACTTGTATAACATAAATAGCCTTATTGGGGGGGGAGGGGAGACAGGAATGCAGGAATGTTCTCACTGTTTACAGACTAGAGAGTTGGTGTTGATTATTCTGGTCTTACCCTGAAACAGAAAACCAAACCCTGTGGCCCTGCCCTGGACAGAGCACTGAGCTGGACAATGAGACCAGCTACATCTTTCAGTGGCTCTCACAGGGCTCCCCACACTGGGGGGGTGTGACCATCTGCTGGCCTACCCTATGACTCACTTTGGTCCAGTGCCCTCCCATCCCACAGTCTCAGTAGCCCCACACAGAAGGCCGTAGGAGCACCAGGTCAGGTAGGTGGACACAACTGTTCCCAGATGGGAACACAACTGCCCAGAGGCCCTCATTCCTGGCAAAGTAGCCTGAGGGGGCAGAAATGAAGCTCAGTAGAAACTGCAGAAGAAAGGTGGTGGCACTGGGCCCAGCCTCAGCAAAACAGACATTTTCCCTCTGGCCCTGGATCTCACCTAACTTTAACTTAACAGCTCTTCCAGTTGGCACCTTGCCTTGACTGGGAGAACTGAGGCTGGATCCCAGAGGTGGAGCAGCCTCAGACAAGTCACTCCTTAGGACCTGGGTTCTTCGTATGAAAAGGGAGGGACTGAACTGGATGCCCATTACATCCAGACACCTGCCATGGACTGGGCACTTATCTACAGGCCACAGAAGAGAACGCTGCATGTTTTTCATTTACTACTTTTGATGCCTCCCCTTTTAGGCCTCTGCTCATGGTGCCTGTGTCCTTCCCCCTCCCCCAATCTTTCAGGATTCAGCTCAGATATCGTTTCCTTCAGGATTAAGCAAGAGCAGGTACCACAGTTTGACACAGAGGTGAGGCTTCAGGGTGGGAAATAACATTTGGTTTTGGATAAGTTGAAACGTAAGGACTGAGGGTTATCACGTGGCGACAGGGCAAGTGCCATCAGCTTAGTGGTCTTAGAGGATACAGACGTCAAAAAGAGCAGAGGCGAGATTAAGCCAATAAACTATTTAGGGTGCAGGTGAGGAAGGAGAAATCGGGAAGAGACAGAGCAGACTCAGACCAAGGGCAGAGAACAACAGCATGGTGGCCCAGAAGCCTGGGAGGATCCTCAGGAACTGTCAGCACCTCTCTGTGGGCAGTGACTGGGGACAGCAGCAGAAGATGTAGGGCTGAGATAAGGAGGAAGAAGGGTGTAGGCCAGGGAGCTTTTGACCCCAGGGGAAATCTAGCAATGTCTAGAGACATTTTCGGTTGTCATAACTAGGAAATTACTGCAGACATGTAGTGAGTGGAGGCCAAGAACACTGCTAAATCTCTAGTAACACACACAGACCTCCTCCCATTCGCAACAAAGAATTATCTCGTCCCAAATGTAAGCAGTGGCACTGTTGAGAGGCCCTGCCTCAGGGGATATTGGGAGCTCCCAGATTTTCCAGATGTCTAAGATTGGGCCTGGAAGCTCAACAGACAGGAACTCTGTCCGAGACCATGCTGAAAACACCACTGAAGACATCACTGTTGCCACCATTAGACACCCCTGGAGCTGGCCTGTCCACTAGGAATCCTCATGTCCCCTGTGGCCACTGCTTCCACCAGCACCACTCACACAGGCTGGTGGATCTGGTTGGTGCCACTTCAGTCACAGAACTGAATGCTGGCTGCAAGGAGGCTGGACAAACAAGTACCCTAGGGCCTGTACAGTTCCCAGCAGGGGAGGTGGACAGTATGACTCACGGTGGAGTTCCCGGAACAAATGACCACAACAATCAACAGTGGAACAAAGGAAAAGGGGGG